ATACTACTTGGCAACGTTGCACTTACTCACTAGTTACGAACCAGCCAAATATAAATGCACTTTTTTCTGAGAAAGGACACAGTCTGACCCACAGGACTTGCTCACATGGGTGATTCTCCTTAAACACATCTCAATGAAAGTGACTCCACACGTCTTTTATAAAATCTGACCTCAACTGTGTTACCACATAGGGGTATTCCGAGGTCAACCTATCCTCCACTCTCAGCACGTTTAAGCTAAGTTTAACTACCTTCTTCAAAATATACTTGATTTTAAAATTCTGCTCCAACCAGGGCATATGGCTATACTTTGCTGAAAAATCCTTATACGCAGTAGTCCCTCTCTCCCCTTCCCTCTCATTGAAAACTAAATTACTCATGTCAGCACAGACTACTTGAACAAGTCAAAGCGGTTTCACTGGGCTTCAGTATTGGTTTTAAGATAGGCAGAAGCTTCCACAGTCATATGAGAAACAAAGTGGCCAATTTTTTAGTTTTGTATACAAAAAGGGAACTGCACAGTCACTAGCGCCACACAGGTTTGCACAGGCATTTGATTTTTTTTTTATGGTATTAGTGCATTAACTACTATTACTACTATTATTACCATGAATAACTTGTAGTGACATTCTTCCAAACTATATGTTAGAAAAAGGCCCAAGAAACTCATGGCACATTTTCAAATATCAAAAATATCACAAAGGAAAAGACTGTCTGTGTTGTTACGCATACTTGAAATTTCAAAACATTTGACTGTTTGAAATTACTTCTGAAGCCTGGATATTATAATATTCTAGATCTTTACAAGAATTTCGGTCAACATTTTCCAGCTGGGGTGACCAGGGCTCAGGAATTTAGATTTTTCTGGGCGAGGAAGCCTCACTAACTGGACCTTTGTTTCCTGCTAGCATGAGGCAATGACACTAATCTCTGACAATCACCCACAAACCTTAACAGGCAAAGGGACTTTCTGTCCCTCCAATCTCGCAGAGAGAAACTTGGATGGAACCTTTCTGCTCTTCAGTGGTTCCCGAATGGGCTGGCGACAGTGGCAAGTGATACGGCCAGCAGTTTTCAGACTGCTCTATCCAAACCTGGGCAAACAGCCTCTATTCAGGCTGCTCAAAAGCAGGATGGTCTTTTTAGTCCTTCATGCTCATACTGACACTGTGGCTACAAACCCTGCTTAGGACAGGTAGCCTGGTATGGTGAGTACTCGTAACAGGAGAGGTGGTAAGTTGATTACATACATAAACATTTTTCAAAGCCCCATCCTTTTTCCTCAAAGAGAAAGTTGCACATTTGACTCTAAGTCTATTTTTATTTACTTCAGTATCGGCTATGATCATGTGGAAAAACAGAAACTTATTATGCAGGTATCTAGACAAAGGCACCCTCATCTGCAAATATTGGCTTCACTTTATTCTATTCAAATAATCAGATGCTGAGATTTTATGGGAAAATTATCTATGGAGGATTTTTCACATGAATATTTATATTTTTTTTTCTTTTTTTATTCTTTACTACTAAGGATTTAATTGTATGGTTCAGGATCTTTGCTGTGAAAGCACCCTTCTGCATCACTGAAGATATTTCCTTTGACATTCTAAAGCTCAGTGAAATATCCACAGCAGCTCAAAAGCCACACAAAATTCATCTTCAGTTTCCAACACAGTATTGGAATTCTTGCTATATTCACTGAAAAGATCATCAAAGGTCACAAATTTGGATGTACTTAAGGACACATGAAGTTTTTTCATCAAAATCAATGTCCAAATACTCCCAGTAATAGCAGAAGTGACATCTCCTTTCAGAAGAATGTTTTCATATTGTTCTGCCCTAGTCACAGTTAGCAGCTACCATAATTTTAACAGCTCTTAGCAGTGGATACACGAATAATTCTATCAGCTACAGAGTGATAGGATGATATTTTTGTAGTGGATAATGTTATAAAAATACAATAGGTATTTTTTACAATAGGTATATTGTTACACTGGCATAAAACCGTGTTTATTCAGGTCTTCCTATATGATTTAGTATGCCATATCAATTAATAACTGCACAGGATCTTCAGTCATACAAAAGCTGATTAGCAACACAGGCCTCATCAAATCTTTACAAAATGATGCCCAGGGCCTGGGTGAGGTCCACATCCACTCTGGATCCACATTTTGCAGCATCTGCTCTCATTAGAAAGCACAAGATTAAATCCTGGATATGAAAATGCTGAAAAGTTTGGGGTATTTGGCTTCCTAATCACAATCCAAATTATAAAAATGGGGCCCATCTTTAGCTAATGACAAAGGGAGAAAAGGACTGGTAAAGGAGAAAGAAAATCAGTAAGATAAACAGATTTTTCTATGCAGACTGTATTAAGAGTTTTCCATAAGGTATCAATTATTCTTTAACACACAGCTGTGTGGAACTTCTTATTAAAAAAAGTTTCTAAAGACATATAATTAAATGCAGGGGGGCTGAATATTGTATAAAACAGCTAAAGTTTTGTTAGATTTAATTAATTTAAATTTAATCCTGATTCAGTGTAAAACAGTGAAATACAAAATATATAAAAATAAATAAAATAGGGAATTGTAATGGAAAGGCCAGCTCAACCTCAGCTATAGCAGTAATACCAACATTACTAGAACACAACAATTATAAGCAATACATCAATAGGTATGTATAACAGACAAATTTAGGGCTTGGTATCTGTGGTAGACCAGTTGCTCAAGGCCACTAAAATATTAATTTACATCCAACACCAGTTAAATGTGCAAGAACTTCGATTCAAACGAACAACAGTGGAAATTTCTGTGCACTGTGCAGAATACACAGGCTGAAACAAACTTTTGACTTTGGAAATATTGTTAGCCTGCGCTTTATCAGTGAAAAGACCAGAAACTTCTATGTGTATCCTGGAGGTATGTGGTTTAATCTGTGGTGTTGAAAAAGAAAAGTCATCAAAGACAATCTTGAATAAAATTGCAAAGGGACAGACCATTACGCACACTTCTTTTCTCTGAAATCCTCAAAGCAATTCACGTTTGAGGGCTTGGTTTTCTGCACAGTCTTTGGATATCTTAATTTTGGCCTTCATTATAGGGTAGAAGTTATATTAAATAATATTTGGCTTGCTATTTTATTAGAAGAAATCTGCATGTGATTTTGTTCAGTAGAAATTAAAAATGTGATGCTACATACTGGCATTGAGGTTGAGTTTGCTCAACCACATAAAATAATACTTTGCACTTTTAAACGCCTTTCCTCAGAGGATATTCAAGTGCTTTGCTAACATTAGTCAAGCCTCACAACACCCCTGTGAGGTAGGTAAAATACATAGGAGGAGGAGGATTTCACTCAAATTGAACATGATAATGTCTCTGGGCACTAGGTTCACTAGCACTGCAACGTAACACAAATGTTTAGGGCTTACTATAAGGCAAAGAGTTAACAGTACAAGAGCACAGGACTCCCTCTTCTTTTGGTTATATGTGGTCAAGCTAACATGCAGGGCTGCACAGCACCAAACTGGAGCAAATGCCCACACAAGGATTTCATGCGCCCAATCCAGAAACAGCACCCTCTGCACAGTAAAAGACACAAAATGACATGCTCAAGATGGGTACGGCAGCTTAGTTATGGGACGTTCTTGAGGAGCAGAGTACCATGGGAATAAGAGCCCGGAAAACAATACTGTCTCCACACAACTCCGATAATATCTGAAGACGCTTGCGTTTGGTTCTTTTTGCACTAATGTTTCAATTCACAACTTACTGGGGATAAGCAACTGCAACCATAAAGTGTGTTGGCAACTTCCATGCCTTGTGAAGGAAACAAACAGATAAAATGGCTGCTCTCTAGTTTGGCTGGCCACATGTTCTCAATGTACAGGGCCATGATGTGGTCAGAGGGTTGCGATAGGCTGGGATGGGATAAAGAAACACTGTTGTACATTTACATGCCCCCTCTGAAGCTGCTGTAGTCTGTCTCCTGAAAACCCTCTGTAGTTTTGTGGGGGTTTTTTGTCCACAGTGTAGACATGGGAGAATATTTGGCCCCCATCAGGTTTGTTCTCAACTTAGCACCAATGGTGCAGATAGCCATCGTACAAGTAGCAGTTCTACTGTGTCACTGATCTTCCAGATTAAGGATTGAGAAAAAATAAGCAAATACACGACTGAGAAAAGCGTCGCTCATCTACAACAGTCTATGTGAAATACAAGGAAACAGAAAGAAAACAGTGTTCTCAGTATTAGTCAGTACCAATACTGCCCTCTCTTTCTCCATATTCCACTTTTCTAAGTTGGCATAAATGGTACATCCCATATGCGGAAAAGTATTGCCCACATAGAGAATCTGACCTGTCTAACATAATAAATCGCTACAGAGGCTGGTCTACCACATGCAAGACAGCCCTCTTGGTAATTTTATGTCTTTGCATGCAAGATATTTTCCCTTTTTGCTAATTTTCATTTGAATCTTATGCTTATTTATAATACTTGTCCACTATCAGCCACATAACTTACTACTTCACAGGCTGGGTGACCCGTTGTGAGTATCACTGCCTTGTAAAATAGCCGAGAAGAGGTGATTCGTGGATTCTGTGCAATCAATGCAAAGTTCCCCTCCAACACTGCATACGTTCACAGCTAGAACTACACTGTTCCACTGATCAGCAGTGAATAAACGTATATGATTATAATGCATGGATGATGTCCTTCTCATTTGCTCTCCCCCCCGCCCTTTCACCTTCTCCTCTCTCTATATATTCTGCTTATTTAAATACGGGAATACAGAGACTGCAGATACAACTGGCAACTGAAAAAATGAGCTGGCATCTTTGTAATCATTAAGAGACAATCGGAGTGGTAGACTTAATTAGCAGCTAGCGAGAAAGTTCACTTTATATTTCATACTGCCCCAAGTTGGAAGCCTTCTGCATTTCCTTTTCCTTGCTTTCCTTTTGTTCATTGCAACACTGATTGTCGTGGATAGTCTTTGTGCTTTGTATAATGCCCATCTTTGATGTAACTGGAACTCACGTACAAAATGTGGCTGTCATACATAAGCATGCTAGAATACAGGCAGGGACGGTACAAGCATGCACAAAATAGTCTGAAGGGTTTTTTGTCTGTTTTTCTTCAACATTTACATGCACCACTTAGTATCATGTTTTGTTGTGTACACTGAGGACTGGATTTCACAAGCATTCATGATCTTCTCTTCTGAAAAGCTTCTTGACAATTTCTCAAGAGTCCAGTGTAAAAAAAATCTCAGAATTTAAAAAAAAAAAAAAAGAAAAAGAAAAGAAAAAACCTTATCCCTGCAATCTGCTCTTGTCTTTGTGATTTTAATGTTGAACACTTCTAAAATGTCTCCTCTTCCTCTTGCAGAGCTTCAGGTTAAATGGTTGGCTGGAAAGACAGATCAGTGCGTCACGGTTTTTCTTAGCCACTGGAACAGTTCTTCCTTATAAAGCCTTTGCCACCGCACATTGGCTTCCACTGTTTCCACGGCGCGAGAGAAAGAGGCAGCAGCTCCCCCTTCGTAGCTCTTTATAAAGTTCTTTAGCTGGAAATACAAGTTAATAGGTTAAATTTGCAGGAAAGTTAGGTGTTTCCAGTGCACACAAGTCAGGGATTTAGGACAAACCTCCACAATCACTGTTGAAGTAAATGTAGTACCATGGAGAAAGATTTAATAGGAAATGTAGTAAGACAGCAGTCTGTCAATTAGATGTGATGCAATTGCTTCAAATTGCACTGGAAGATATTGACATGTCACTGCCGGATCACATTAATATCATTACCTCCTTCACTCCTGCAGCCCAGCTGATGCACTGTGTGGACAGCTGGGCTGCTCTAAACTTCTATTTCTACCTAAGAAACTGAACTGGGAGCACTGGAAATGCTTCAAATTCAGGTTTATATGCAAATATGAGCAGAAGGCAGTCCTGATGCACTTTGGATTTATCAAGCTACACAACAAATTTATTACATTTTGATTTGCAGAACCCTTTTGATGATGTAATACCAGTCAGTCGTTTAGAAAAGGAAGGGATGGTTACAGAGTGAAGAGAATGGCAAAATAGCAAGTGGGCACTCTGATGATCTTTGAATGCCTGAAACAGATTCCCTCCCTTATGAGAAAACTTTGATCTTTTTTCAGCAGACTGAAAAGGCTCCTGCTCTGTTCTTTTGTATGCTTAAATTATAGCACTATCACCTGGATTATTGTAGCTGATGGCACTGGCTAGCTTTGAATTACTGCTCTTTTTAAGTGAGAATTGCAAGGCTGATCTGCATAGTAGGTTGCTGGTTATATTAACTTGTATAAAATTAGGTGGGTTTAGCCACAATTATTCATAACTAGTTAATTTCTGTTTCCTGGTGACATCAAATTCACCTTGTTCATTTAAATCTAGCTTTCAACAACATCTCTTTGTGAATGGGCTCAAAACTGAAAAGGCTGATCCTGCAACTGTCTCATCACAGTTAAAAGCATGAGAGGGACCTGGAAACTACCAAAATCAGACTTTATCTGCTCTCTGTAATTTTTATATCAAAATGTTTACAAGGCCAGCTTCTTTTAAGGGAATTATAAACAAGCGGCCGGACAATACTATCATGGAGGTGGAAATTAAAAGTACAGAAGGCTTCCTTGTGCAGGGCAGATACTCAAATCTGGCCAGCACTGTCCTTTCCACCTGGGTAGCTTTGAGGAAACCAGCTGTGGCTCTTCCCTAAGTTCCTGAAGCCACTAGACTTGAGTGCAGACAAATGGTTGGACACAAAATACCATAGCGCAATCAGAGTTCAATTAATGGTGATTATGCTGCATAAGAATCATTTGATCCAATTGGGGTAATGTTGAGCAGCTGCTAAACAGAGTGTAACACAGCCACACAACTACCTCAGTCAGGGCAGATGTTAAGTTAAAATGAGAAATCTTCGCAATCTAAATAAGAAGTACTTAGCATTTAGAACAAATTATTGTGGTGTCATTTGGCCAGAATATCGGGTTAACAGTTTTTCTCACATGGAAATACTGTAGGCAAAAGAACAGAGAAGGCACTGGCAGCTTCTACTTTCAACACTGGGGTTTTCTAGGGTTGCCCTCTGCAGCATAAATTAATGAGGACAGAAAGATCTTCTCTTTAGTTTCTCAATCAATAGTCAAGAGAAAAAAAAAGGAACCTACGCATCCAGCCAAGCAGAGAAGTACATGCACTACCCCCTCCTGACACCACCTCTATGCACTTGGGTGCCTTTGCAATCTGCTCCTCATCCTCATGGTGCCCAGCTGTAGCATGGGCCCTGTTGACTCCAGCTGAGCAGCCACAGTTCCCGGGCAATCAACACTTTATTGCTCCTACCCTGATCCCGGCTTACAACAAACACAGCCTCACATGCCAAAAGTAATTTAACATTTACCTCTCTCAGTTCTTCTTCGGTATTGAGGAATTCTGTGACCCCACTGATAAGCTTTGAATTCATAAATAATGCTTCTCCGTACCTGCAAGGGCAAAAGGAAGATGCACAGACAGTTAGCGCAAGTGCCTGGCCGACTGAAAATTTGAAAGCAGTTTTCTGTAAGCACGAGAGAAGACATGGGATCAAATCTGGGAATCCAAGGGAATAGCACCAGAATTGGACACTGGTATTCCAGTGTTTCATGCTAAAAACCTGGACTGAGACATTCTAGGCTGAGCTATTTGTAGTTAACTTTTAGTCAGATGCAGAATGTGCTTAACTGCAGCCCACAGATGACAGCTCCAGAGGAGGAGATGACCAAATCACAACACCACCTCTCATTTAAGAAAATGGCTTTTCATGTAATGACAACACGCAGCTCAAAATACAGGTGCCAAAGAAGGAGCAGAGCAGCAACTATGGAGAAGTATTCTGAGGAACCTGTAGAAGTATTCTGAGGAAGCTGTACCATTAAAATACTTTTTGAAGTGCTTCAGCTTTCTCTGCATTTTGTATTCATCCACCTCATCTACATTACAAATAGCCTCTCAGTAAGTGAACCAAATCAAATTTTCTTGTTCCAGTACCTGATAATTAAAATAAATAATACTGATAGCGAATACTGCTAAAATAATCCCCTGGGCCATGATGTTGCATCTTCAAAGAATCAACCTGGAATGAAAATTTGAAAGCTTGGGAAAGGAATATTTAAAGAGTAGGATATTGAGCAGCCATTAGCAATCACCTTCTGCAGGTAGTTGCTTTGAAACTGGAATTCAAATCCTTCTGTTCCACTTGCTTTTCCACAGTTTTTTTTTCAATCCCCCAAATGAACCATCTACATAATTTATAATATTAACCAGACTACTCCTAAGTTTTGCATTTGATGTTGGAATAGTTTGCGTGTTTTTTGTTTTCAAAGTCTCTAGCACGAAGAATATAATTCCATTGCAAACCAAAAACAAGTCTTTTGTTCACGTTAGATGTCATTCAGCATCGCAAAAGGCACTTGACAAATAGTTATCCTTATCTTTATCTGCACATATATCTAAAGCAGTATCTAGCTAATCTGAACATGACTGTTTTAAGATAGGGAGTCCAGCTCTCTGGTCAGACCTGTGTAAGTAATACCAATAGACTTCACTGCAATTAAGTTTATCTGGGGGGACAATTCAGTTCATGTCCCGCTTTTACAAACTGATTTAGAGGAGGAATTCAAAATTCAAAGTGAAATGAACAAGCCCAGTCACAGCTTTCTGCTCTACTTCTATTAATCCTAAATTAATTACCTTTAAATGCTTAAGTACTGTAAGACACAATCCTTTCAAAAGGGAGAAAGAAAAAGTGAGAGGGATGGCTGCAGGGAGAGGGATAGAAAGAGGGAGAGGGAAGAGAACTGGGTTTTCTTTGGGAAGATTCTGCTTTAGGGAAGGTGTACACTGTGTTGCTTGCGACCTTGAGCTGCTACAAGGGGAAACAGTTATATATCAAAAATCCTACTCCCTGACCACTAATAACTCTTGGATATTTCTGCAAGTACATCTCTTTTTCCAAAACTTCAGTCACACTGACATACACAGACATCCAGAGGCAAACGCCTCCTATGGGAAGTATGGATTTCATGGTCCTTTAAGCGTGTTTAGGCTTTCTAACAAAGCCCTTTATTATTACAGTCTCAGCTTAGCCTCATAATTGACTGCTTGGAAAATTGGAAGCTTCTCTTGATGGGGTCTTTTGACAAGGTTACCAATCCACTTTACAGAAGCAACCTCAGAAACACAGCTGCAGAGATTTTATTTTTCTTGAAGTTTCTACTGTAGCCACAGTGCAAACAAGAAGTAGCTGAATTCCTTCCACTGAAAATAATAGCTTCATGAATACCTGTGCTGATTACTGCCCATTATGCATACTTGGTAAAACATCAGCCACTAGCAGCAATTTCTAAGCGGTCTCTGCTGGCAAAAGTTCTAGAAAAGCCACCTCCCAAACTAGTATTTTGCAGGCATGAAACATAAGAATAAATAGAAAAAGTGTTTGGTCTTGCAGGTATCAGTGTTCCCGCTCTTCACAGGGAAGACAACAGCACGGCAGAACCAGGACCTTACAGGCCTGAGCTCCCTGGGAACATACTGGGGTCATGGGCTCTCCACCCGCTCCTTTACTTCTGGGGATGCAAACCTCCAATGCCTCACATTTGTACAGGCTTTGCACTTGTGCGGACTCAACTTGAGAGGCAGCCTAGACCATTTACATTGCACATATGTAAATGGCTTCCCAAATATTGTCAAATTCACAAATGCTGATAAATGATTTGGGACTCAAGAATGAAGGAATTCTTACAGGCAGCTGTTGAATTAAATTATCCCACACCAACACACACGTGCACACATGATAAAAATGATTTCGGAGCCAAGGTAGTGCATGCTCAGGTAATAAGAATTCAAGCATAGTATTTTCAATTCTCTTTTTCAGAATTTCAGCAGTCTTAGTCCCACGGATTTCTTAGGAAAGACTTGTTTGGCACCTCAACTTCTAAGTCAACTTTGTAAATGGGATATGAGTAATTTTGAAGACTTCATACATTATCAGTATCTTCTGGACAATGTGAATGCAGGTATGCTGCAAAAATATAAAGGGATAATATCTTGTTGTTCTATAACTCTTTGACATGCTGTGTTTTAAACTTAGAGGAAATAGTGTTATAGTATAATTTACTCACCCTCAGCTATTTCATATTACTATCTCAAACATCAACATCTTTTATAACAAATTCAGATATTGCCTTATTAAATTAACGTTTTGTGCGAAGTATTTTAAATAAAATTAAGTAATAAATCATAATTTTAGAAAAAAGATGCCTTGAGACAGAGTATTTTTGAACTATAATTCCACAATAAAGCTTGTATTTTAAAAACATACTAGTGTGGCAAGTTTAAATCAGAAATCTAATTTTGCATTCTATCATGTCATTGTATCACTGAACATTAAGGGGCAAGGTGTTAAACTAATTCCACCCTCTCAAACTCTCTCTTAAAATGTTTTAATCTATAATTACAAAACAGTTATTTTCAATATACACCACATAGGTACAGCTTGCATGAACTATTTCATTCCACTAAATTGAATCCTTTGGCAATTGATAGAAACAAAACTGGACGTCCCTTTCAGAAAAATGCAACTGCTACAATCCTTTCGGTGGCTCTGACTTGTGTTTGGAGATCACACTGAAATGTAGATAACATAAAGTCAGTGTTGGGCAGAGAGACAGACTCTCTGTTACTTCTTCATTGAAAAAAGACAGTTACAGGTTTTTGATGACGCCTTGCTGAATGTTAGGAACTCAGATAACATAGTGATGCATTCCAGGGAAGTAAGAGAAACAAAATTCAAATTTTAGGTGAAGTTAAGCTATTTAAAATTAAAACACATAAAAAATTTGGCATGTGGTATAGTTTTTTAAGTCTTGTCCATTTGTCCACACTGCTTAACCTTGTCCATGTCTAAAATCACAGGTGTTAGCTAGGCTGTCAAATGAAAGTACTTACTAAGGCAGGACACAAGTTCTGCATATGTGTTTATAGCAGTACAGATTTTGGCAAACTTATACCTAAACTCTGCATAAATCCCTGGAGGAATCTGAGAAATTTTTTGCTATCCAGAGCATAACTAACTGCACTGGGTTGCATAATAGTAAAGGGTCTGACATCCACTTTCTGTGTAAAAGTCCAGTTCCTGGAATAATCATACCAGAAGCAGAAGATTCTTAATTTTTAAATTCCTCAGCACTCTTAAAGCTTTTTGGAATTTGCTTTCAAAAAGTATGCTCCTGCAATATAAACTTCCAAAACCAATTCCAGTTGAAACCTATTTTCCCAGCTGAACTTCTTCTAAAACCCCACTATACTATAAACTATTATCCAAAATAGCATGAACAACTTTTTGATTTTTTAGGTAAGTTGCATGGTCCCTGAGTTTCCTTGACTCTTCTTTTGATGCCATGAAACCTATAGTAAGTTTGTACCTGTATTCATGAGGCACTAGGATTCAGTAACCTAAATACAGCATCTTAAATATATCATTTCAAATATTCTGTGGTACACTAGATGGCTCCTCACAAGTCCAGAATGGAACAGATCTCCAACACTTTTTCTGCCAACGCCATGGGAGTGGCCTGGCGTGGAGTGTCTGAAGTTCCTGGACTCCTGCCTTTAAGAACTTGAACCTCATCCGAGTTGTGGTCCCCTCTAATCTGTCAGTATCAGATGAGCTGCCGTGAAATCTTTCAGACCCTCAGGCTGTCCCTGAAGAACTAAAGAAATTTCTCATTCATTGAATTAATATCAAAATCTTCATCAAAAAGGATCTTAAAATGTTGACTGGGCTTCTGAGTAGGACTTGTTCAAAGAGAAAAAGAAGTAGGTATAAGGAACAACCCTGTCTCCTTCCTGTTCCATCTATTTTTAATTCCAAATGTTTCTCCTCTATTACTTGAAACTCACCTGAAACATAGAGTGGAAGGAAAGGGGATGACACTCTATTAGCATCCTTTTGAAGATGGAAATGTTTCAAAAAGGGTTTGGTGTTTTTTTCCACAGTTGAAATAATGTTATTGAAAAGACTTTTTTTCTATCAGACTTAAAATCAGAAAAATTCCTTTGGGAACTACTGATTTTTTATCTATGTAAAAGTACCACTGCAGCATTTGACATATAGATAGAATTCATTATCATAAATGCAGACACAATAGAGTAATAGATATATATATATACAGATGATTGCTAAGAGATAAATGTTTCTATGCATGTGTGTGATAATCCATGAATAAATACATTTATGACTCATACGTATTTCATATTTAGAGACATCTCTATTTATGGATTACAAGAGAACGGACTGGATTCAGGAACTTACATGAATACATACATATACAATACTTACATAAATTACATCAACATAAGAAATGAAAATAAATTTAGACTTATTATCTTTACCTAGCATTTAGTATTTTCCATTTTTCTCTGAAAAACTTCCAAGCAAGATCCCTTCCATGTGGATTCCGAGCTACGTGGATTATCACATCAATTGCATCCTGATCCAGGACAACTTCCGAGTTGAGAGACAAATTCAAAAGCCTAGTGGGAGAAACAAGGAAAAAAAATCCTAGTTAGTTTCACCAATACATAGTCTAACAGCGGCATATCAGATAACTCTCAGAAAAAAAATAATAACTGTCCAATGGCTTTTTTAAGTCTTCAAGTGAGTTCAGTGGTTTATTTCTATGATTCCAAAGACCAGACACATTTATGAATCAGAAAAATCTTGATGTAAAAGGATTTCAGTAAAAGCTGAGTGGAACTTTACATGTGCATTTTTATGAAATCAGTAAGATCAGACTGGTCAATACATTTAAATAAACAATATGCTAACAAAAAAATAACAGCAATTATTATAGGATTTCAAACATTTCCAATGAACATAGGAAAATCTGGAAGTGAAAAGACATAATATTTGTCAATTTTCATATGCATTAATGCAAAAACATAAGACAGTTTAAACACATTGTGAGCCTGTGCTTGAAAAGTTCTTTCATTTAGACCAAAGCTCAAGTGACTCTCTGTAAATGCTGAAGTGATTATGGGTAATAGTCAGATACAGATACATAATATTTTCATACCTGTTGAGCAAGTTTCTGTCATCACTGCAAGTTAAGGCTTCTAATAATATTTTCTTCTCAGACACTGCTGTGGTAGAATGAAATTTCATCCAAATGAACTCCCATACATCTTCATCCATCAGTGAAACTCCTGTACAGTAGACAATGTCTCTCACATTGAGTGGGATTCTGCAAAAGAAATCAGTAACGGCATTGTGGTACATAAGCAGCCTCCTGATACTGGAAACAAAGGATGAACAGGACTGCATTTATGAGGCTTCAAAATTAAAGTGCAACAGACGGTAATCTTTTATTTGCAAAGTTACATTTGCATCTCTCTACTGCCACCAAAATCTTCCAGGCCATCCTAATAGATTTTCTAATGAGTAACACATGTTTGCCATTCTTTTCATAACACTGTCAGAAGACTATAAAATATGGTCATCCAGTTCATCCATACATAACATGCCACATAACCTGCAGGACAGGTAGCATAAGCTCTCCAAATTAGCATGAGATCTTATCACTCTGCTGCTGGGCTCTAAGCCAAGTCTCCCTTTCTTGTCCTTAGCACTGAGGTTTTACAACAGCATCAGAAACTCCTCCTTGCTTGTGCAGTAAAATGCTCCATCTTCATATCGTAACATCCAAGTAAGGAAGAATGTGCTGAGACAATACTACTTAAAAACGCTGTTTTCAGGAGTGAAGAAAATAGATCTATTCATTTTTTCAGCATATTAATACTAGTACAAAACCAGCTATGCCATAGCATGCTTGTGAACTGTGATTACTGCTCAAGTAATATCAACTCAGACTACATACAGTTAAATGAAAGCTTCTTGAAGCCAAATTCAGACCTTGTATAAGATGTGCATACGTACCATTTTCCTTCAAAAAGATCTTAGCTGGGCTTTTGAATTCTTTCCCTGCTTATGTTTACTATACAAGTATAGAAGTTTGGGGGCAAAACATTTGGGAGATAAAGTGTATTCCCACAGATAAAGCTAGACATTTCTCAGAGGAATATGTTTCTGATTTGCAGGAAAGAAAGCCCTCTTTTTGTTGGTAAAAGATATACTGAAACACAGTTCTCTAGTTACTAACAGCTGGGCTCAATCACCTCTGGAACTTCATACGCAGGACCTCTTTAGAGAATCCAGAAGTACATATAGCTGCTGGTGGTGTCTGGGCAGTAATACAGCTGGGCAAAGAATGAAATTACCTCTGTAAAAATGTATATCAAATCTTACACAATACAGAAAGAAAAGGTTACATCTAATAATAAGACCTTCACCAAAGTCTTACACTATAGCCTGGGCTACCTTGGTCAAGAACAAAGAGGTTCTTTTACTTCCATCTATTAATTCTCCAGGAAAAACAAAACAAAACAAAACACAACACAAACTTTCTTTCACTGAAATTTTCTACTGTTAGGCTCTGTGATGAGAGTTTTTGTTAAAAAGCTTCAGCTGATCTCTTTAGCCATGTCTGAGTGCCCAGAAAATGAAACCAGCATTGCTCTTCAGCATTTCTGTTTTGGTTCCTCTTCAGTACTTCAGAAGGAAGCAGGCAAGCTAAGAAACCCTATACTGATGACTGAGAAGGGTTACAAACTGTTGTTGCCTCTATGGGGTTAGCTGTCTCCAACAACTATGATGGTTTCTTGAGAAAAAGAATAAAAGGAATATGTAGCTACAGGAAGGCAAAACTAGAAAAAAAAGTGCGCTCCTCCTACTGGCTGAAGAACTTTGGGGAATTAGTGCCTACTGCTTTTTTTTGTAATGCTCTTTCTGAGTAGTAAAAAAGTCCTGAGGTTAAGGCTTTATTCATGTTCTCTGGCGAGTGCAGTCATCAGCTCAGAGGGTGTATCTGCAGGCTTAGATGCAGCCACATGAATTTTGCTTCTGCTGAGCTGACACAGCTCAGGATAGTGCTGCTTCTTGGAGGTTCTTTAGCAGAGTCCCATGCTAACAGAACCACAAAGGGCTGCCTTGACTAGTGCTGAGGTATTTTGCATTTGATGCAGACAAACCCAGACATTTATTCAGGAGTAAACTCTCCAAAGCAAAACTGAAAGGGTAGGCAAGAGAAATGTAGTTCATTTTAAAGCTGCTGGGAATATGAAACTTTTAACTGTGAGCAGCACACCAGCAGTATTGCCTTTGAAAGCAAAACCAGAGCTGCAATGTCTCATCTCTGCCACGAACTGCTTCCATCTAGCCAGGGTAGGTTGGTACTACAGTGCAGATCCTGGCATGGTTCCAGATTTGACCATTTCTTCTCCTCCCACCACAAATAGCTGTGTGAGAACATGCCCATCCCGAGCCATGCCAGGCAATCAGCATTGCTATGGTTATGACCACATAGCTCAAGCAATTCCTACATGTCACCAACACATAGACGGGACTCCAAAAAATGCAGGTTCCACAGTTCCTCCCCCTTGATGCTTCCTATTTCCTTCTTAGACTTTTTCCCTCAATGTTCAGATGACCTAAAAAGTTTGGCACTGAAAAAAGTTAGTAACTCTCCTCAGATTAACCCAGGATCAGCAGGTTTTGGCTTATGTATGGTGTATGCAACTGCTTCTGTGGTCCCTACAGAACCATGACACTAAGACCAAGGAAACCAGAAAATACTTAAAGCTGACCAGATCCATTAAAAGAAATATTGTTTAAACATATACAGTAAAGAAAAAGGCTTTCACCAGCCTTTCCATACTACTGAATTTTGATTCCCAAAAACTGAGTTAGCATTGGGAAAATGTGAGTTTGGTTGACATTTACAGAATTATCCATGTGTGCTAGGTGCTGAATTTCCATTTCACTGTGATGAACTTGAAAGTCTATCATTAAGCCCTTGTTGTAATATTTCAAACATTAATGAATATCAACAGTTTATCTTTCACCCATTTAACTTTTTGTTCAAAATGTGCATGCAAAGGAAACTGCATGCAAAAGAAACTGCATATAATCGAGTCTATTACAGAAAATTAAGACTACATATTTAAACACAAGAAATCAAGACATACTAAAATTAATGGAGCAGATATTTAGGTGCTGCTTCTGTGTTGGCTTATATTAACTCAGAATGAGACTTAAAGTTCTCTAAATAACTGCAACTCTCTCCAACCTTTGGGTCAACAATTACAGTAAGATAAATATGCATCCATACTGCACAGAACATGAAAGTGATATTAATTATCATTGCGTCTTGATTTTCCGACATCTTAGGTTATTTGTCCTTAAAACACAATTTTCTTACCAGCTTATGTCTTTTTTTTTGCTTTTAATTTGGGATTTACTACACTGACAACAGCCATAAGAACATATACTAAACCAAAAGGACTAAGGGATGCTATTCTGACTGTGGGACCAAACAACCCATTGCCCCAAATCTGTCTTATTATATGATATCTGAATATGAAGAACAACTGAACCCAGCAAAGCCTTATTTCAATGAAGGAAGGACTTTATATCTTGACACTGAAACACTAAATAATTTTTTTTTTAGAAGCACACGTAGTTCTTTCAGAGCTTTGCTGGCAGAAATACTATCTTTGGTTTACTGCAAGAGATGCGACTCAGCCAACAGATACTCTAAGGAACTATAAGGCACCTGGAAAAAGGTAATTCTTTTTTGGTTGATTGTCCCATTAATTCAGGTAGGAACTGTGTGCTGGAAGGACTGTTGCACTGTGTTTGGCTAGTACAGTCAGCAGCAGAGGTACGTAGAAGTGGATGTCTAACCCCAGAAAGGTCGGCAT